TAATTCTTCCAGCTCCCTTATGCCCCAAACCAATCTGTCTTCAAGGTCTACTCACTATACTATTGAAATATTTCCCAAATCTGTCTACTTCTCTAAATCTACAATTGCCCCAGAGCTACCATCAGTTTCATCTTTGACTTGGACTATTGCAACAGCCTTTCTCCCTCAATATCTTCTGCATTTATACACAATTTTTAGCCCTTACCATGGCATACAAGACCTTACAAATTTGTCTGCTGCCTACCTCTTCTACCTCGTCACTTGCTGCTATCTTCCTTGCTCACTGCACTTCAACCATATTTAAGCTTGGAGTATTTACATCAGAGCCTTAAACACACTAAGCTTGTTCCCTCTCACAGGGCATTGTTGATGTATTCTTTTCTGATGGAATGCTCTCTTCACAGATTTTGCATGGCTGGATCCTTCTCCTCTTTCAAGTCTCAATTCAACTATTCACCAAAATTCAACAATTAAACAAAAGGACTGCCTTGATCACCCTATTTAAAGTGACAATCCTCCTACCAATTGCAGTCACTCTCCATTACCTTTTTATTTTTATTACATCCCTAACTGAAAATACTTTATTCATTTATTTGTTCACTATCTATATTTCCATACTAAAATGTAAGTTCCATAAGAGTAAGAGCCTTCTATATTTGGATCATTGCTGAATCCCCCAACACAGACATATAACAGGTCCTTAATAAAATGTGGATGAATGAATAATATTTCACTAACTTCTTTTAGTTCAATGTATCTTGAAATAGATCTAAAACAGCTAAGCTCATCAGTTCATTAATTCAACAAGCCTATATTTTGTGCCTACACTGTCCTAAGGACTAATAGACACAGATAAAGAACAGTTCTTACCTTCATGCTAGGTGGGAAGACAGGCATAAAGTCAATTAACTGTACTGCAGTGTGACAAGTACTATAATAGGATGTAAAGTAAAATGTGGGCAAAAAGAAGATATCTATCAATATTGCTTCATGTGAGAGAACTTTATTGAAGAGATGATATTTAAATTAGCTTTAAAGTAGTAGGTAGACAAGCAAGTAACAAGTGGATAGAAGCATGTGTCAGTGAGAGGGGAAAACATGCTTAAAGGTAGAAAGAGTTATAAAGCAACAGACCAACTGTACTTTTTGTACATTGTTTAGCTGTCTTCCTAGAATTTTCTTCATTGTATTATTGGACTGGATTCATGTCTTCCTCTTATTTGGTTTATCTTTCATTTTATTGTGCTTAGTGCATGGTATAGCTTGTGGCTATAGAGAAGGAGAAAACTGACTAGTGAAATGTTTAGCTGAATTTCTTTAATTAACCTGATGATTACCCCTTGGTCCTCCCTGCTTTTTGTATTTGTCAACTCTGGACCTGAAAGATCTCAGGATCTATAGTTTTCATTATAGCATTTGACAAAAATGAATTAACTATCAAAAAAAGATGTACTAATTATATTATGGTTAAAAGGGGCACATAAATGTTTTAAAAATATTTTCAACGACAAACACAATTAAGAAAAGTGTACAAATTAAAAGGGTTAAGATGGAATTTGGAGTGACTTATTTCCAGAAAATAGTGGTGAGTTAACATTCTCTGCATGGTGTTCAGGTAATAGAAATTTATGATTAATCATTCAGCCTTGATAGACCAAGAAGGGAAAATTAACAACTACAAGACAACAAAAAAAAGGAAACTCAGGGAAGGGGTTGAAGTATGCTGAGATGCTTAGCCTGGGGAAAGAGAAAATAGTGCTAATTAAGGTGAAATTTCTGTGGAATTCTTTCCAAAAACCCAAAATCTCACTCTAATCATAAGAAAATGGTATAGTTCCGGCTTGAGTCCGAAGGCCTGAGAACCAGGAGAGCCAATGATGTAAGATTCAGATGTTAATCTCATACAGAAACACCCTCACAGACATACCCCGAAATAACATTTTACCAAATATCTGGACACCCTGTGGTCCAGTCAAGTTTTCACATAATTATCATACTATTCCTTGGGGTTCTGGCTAAATTAGGCTAGTTCTAGGCTAGTTTCGATTTCCAAGGACATGCATAGATGGTCAGAGCCTGGCAACATGAGGCTTTGGGCCTCGCTGCTACTTGTAGTCGGTAGGATAATATTATAGAGATTTTCAGTTATTGGACCTCAGCTGGTACCTGATGCAGTAGGTGAAGGGCCTAGCCCCTGAGCACTGAGTAAGTTAGGCATGGGAATGGAGGTTGGGATGTGGACTTTTGCCAAAAGGGCCAGGGGGGTTGGTATATAAAATATATCCAAAACACGAAAGCAAAGGCCTTGTAATAAAGACTTGGAATATAGCAGGGATAAAGGAAGAAAGTGGTAAGTTCTCTATGTACATGGGTGTTTTAGTTAACTTAACAAAATAGATGATTTCTAAAAAAATCAAATGTTTGAGTTTATAATTGTTTCAAGCACAGAAAAATAGTTTTGGCTATCTCTTCAACAATATATTGAATGATCCAAGATCGAATACACTTGGGAGGGCACAAAATGCTAAAAACAGCTGCCCACTCTAAAAGTTTAAATTGAACTTTTCCCAATTTTAATCTGAAGATAAATGTCAGATTTCCACATTGGGATAGGATAGAATCATTTGTGGCATAACAATTCTCCAGCCAAGAACAAGGAAAGCCAGATTAAATTTTTAAAAAATATCTGTTTAAGACATCAGAAGGTTGCTGCTGCAACAATAACTTGAGCAGCTGGGATTCTGAAGAGGGGTTAACTGGAGACAGGTGATTTGAAGATCTGAAGTCATTGTTTTCCCCCTGAGTTTTAAAGGTTCGGAGAATGGGCAAGAGGCTGAGAAATCCAGCTTTGACTGTACAGAGGGCTCCTGCTGGAGGACATTGAAATCATCTAAGCTTCTGACAGTTATGCAGGGCTGATGTGACAAAATTGGAGATTTGAGACTTGGTTCCATCTCAAATCATTTGCTAACTCTCAAAACTGTATAGGGCTTAAAGTTAAAAAGCTAAGCCTTAGGGCTTCCCTGGTGGCGCAGTGGTTGAGAGTCTGCCTGCCGATGCAGGGGACGCGGGTTCGTGCCCTGGTCCAGGAGGATCCCACATGCCGCGGAGCGGCTGGGCCCGAGAACCATGGCTGCTGAGCCTGCGCTCCGCGGTGGGAGAGGCCGCAGCAGTGAGAGACCCGAAAACAAAAAAAAAAAAAAAAAAAAAAAAAAAGCTAAGCCTTAAGCCCTGTGAAAAGAATAATGGAGTTTCCCATAGTCTTACAATGCAAAAGAGACAAACACTAGAATAGAGGATTCTCCAGGAGTAGAGCCCTAGTGAATACTCTGCACTCAGTGAACCACAAGCTGACCAAGACTTACCAAAACTTTCACCCAGCCTCCATGGGATATAGTAAAGAATTTCACACAGTGATAGAAATGAACTAATAAGGAAACATTTTATGAAGTAGGAGAGAAAAGGGACAATTGGTTAAGTGATAACCTTAAGCAGGCAAGGAAAGATGTAAACTAGTGTGAAACAGAGAAGTTGTCCTTAAACAGAAGCATGTAAAAAAGAAAGTAGAAAAGGCAGAGTATATGGGTGCAAATGCAAGTAGGCTGGTGAATGAAATGGTGGGGACAAGCAGAAATTCTTTTTTCTATTGGGAGGCAGACGTTGGATGCTTGAGGAGAAAGGAGAAAGATAAAATAGTCCTCCAGAGGGGGAGAGTGAGTGGAAGGTTGCCAGGCAACACCAAGGGTCTACTTGAAGACGGTGGTCATGAACTCAAGGTAAGTTCAGTCAGCAAATTTGTGTGATAGTCTCCTGCCATATAAAGCTGTGAAGGTGTAGAACAGGCAGAAAGTTAAATTTATAAAACTTAGGTTTTGCTAGGTGAGCAGGATAAAGGAAGAGAGGGCCAAAACAACTGAGGTTATATTACATGCAAGTTGGTGATAATTATGGTGAGCCACGGAATCCAAACTAGATGAAGAGGGAAGTGAGGACATGAGGGGATTAAGGGATAGGAAAAGAGGTGGTAAGATCAATATAATCAGGTGCCAGGAGAGTTGACAATTTGCAAGAGTTAGAGTTCTAGAGTGAGCTGGAAAGATAACAAATGGTGGTCATCAAGCGGGATGCTTGAAATTGAGACTGATAATGACCAAGAACAGGGTATGACCATAGGGTGGATGGCAGAAAGAGTATAGCGTACGTGGATTATTGGAGGAGAGAGATTCAAAGAGATGAGAGGGATATTGAAAGTATCACCTACATAGATATTTAAATCACCAAGAACTGTGACAGGAGTAGGCTGAAGAAAGAGACAGTGAAATAGATCCTAAAATCTTTAAGAAATGAGGGAAGCGACACGGGAATGTGTACACGACTGCAACAGGAGTGTGTGATAGGTGATACAATCTGATACATGGGCCTCAAAGCTGGAGGTGTTTAGAGAGAATAAAGGAACAATGATCTAAAAACACTAATGAGGAACAAGCCTCCAAGCCCAGTGGTCCAACTGCTGGGCGAGGGAATATATTCACATTTGAGAGGACTGCAGTGGAAGCGGTATACTCAGGGCGGTAATCAGGTTTCAGTTAGAGCAGGAAGGTATAAGTAATGTTCAGAAAGGAATACCCTAATAATTTGATTCCTTTATCAATGTTTACTAAAAGGCACTGAATTAGGCACTAGGAATAAAACAGTAATAAAGACAATGTCAGCCCTCACAAAACTGTGCCTCAAGTAAGAAGTCTCATATAAAAGTGATTACTTTAAAGAATATAACTAAAATTTTATAACAAGCTAACAGTTTTATTAGAATGCATATACTTGAAGAATGATATAACAAAATATGTGATTATTTTAATATAGCTAATCATTGTGGTATTAATTATAATCTAAAAACAAATTCGAATTAAGAATATGTGGGGAAAAGTCATTTTTTAATGTAAAGAAAGAGGGGAAAATGTTAAGTGTATGCTTTTTACAGATATTGTACATGCAGTTACCTGAGACAAAGCAGCATCCCGTTCTTCAATCACTGCATTCATTTCTTCTGCAGTTATTCTCTTTTTACATTCCTTGGTCTTGTAGATTCTATCCACAATTATAGCTCCATTCTTCTGAATAGCTATCCCTGTGTCTGCATTGTTTATTCTGTTCAGTAATTCCTGTAATGTCTACCAACACCATTATATGTTAGTCAGACATGAAGTTTTAATATATTTTATTTAATATAGGGTTTTAATTAATAGGCACATGTGAATTGTAAATTGACTGAGTGAAGTTATTGAATTTTCATATTGCAGCAAAGATGTACATTATTAGTGTGTCAATTCTTCTTTTTCCCACATCTTAGTTCTTGAAACCCACTCAATTGAACTTAAGCCTCTAAGATATAAGACTGACATCAAGAAATCTCCTCAGAGAATGGCTTACCATGTCATTTTCTTCAGGGTTAATATTTTCTAGCCTAGAAAAAAGGGACACAGAAAGCCTGATCAGTAGCATTTCCTTAGTGCAGCAAAATGAGTTCGCTTTTTAAATCTTTAGAACCTCAAGTAATTTCATTCGACTAGTCTTTAGAGTCAACCATGACATTGAACATATTAAAGTGCCACCTGCTCGACTCCATCTTTCAATAATGCTCCATATCTTCTGCACTGACTTCAGACTGTTAAGTTATTAATGTTTACTGCTATATATGACTACAAGGATCAATTGTTCATATGTGCTTAGATGAAGAAAGTTCCCCAGTGATAGAAGTACTCATTCTCATCATTATATTTATTTCTAGACTTTCAATTCTTACCAGAAACTGTATTTCCTATCCTTTTTGGACATTATCACAAATAAAACAAAGCAAGTATTTTTATTACAAAGTTTAACTACGTTCCCTCAAAAGCAATGACAAATAACTATCACTAAATTTGACCTGAAAATCTCCTGGTGCTACCTATTTGTTGAAACAAATACGCTATATTGAAAGGCTGACCAAAATTGGTCACATTTTTAAATGACTAATGTTATTTTCTTTTTTGCATAACACAGAATTATTCAATTTAAAGGGAAAAAAAGTAAACTGGTTCTCTTCATAAATGGACTTTTTGTCTTTTAAGAGTCATAGTGTTTATGTTTGTTGATGTTGGTAAATTGAAATGCAGTTAAAGTAAAGAAAGAAGTTCTAAATGACATATTTAGAAAATGTATATAATATAATTTAGGCAGTCATTAAATTGGGTAGATTAAATGAAAACCTGTAATGGGTACCAGTGAAATGATGGAGATTTTAGAAATGATTTCAATTATTTAAAAATTGTACTTAAAAGCTTAGATATCCAAATTCGTGTTTCAAGTTTTCCCCCTCCATTTCTGTGCTCCTGTGATTTAACATTTACTACAAAAAAAGGATACTAGGAAAAGATTACAGGAGACACTTAACAAATTTGTTACAAAATTGTTCCAAACTCCACAGTTCAATCAAACTGCTATAATCATGGAGAGAAAGTATAGATTTTAGAACATTGCATTTGCACAGGAAAATATATGAACATATATCAAAAAAACTATCTCTACCCATATTTAAATGGTGTAAGTCAACAGGTAGGTGTAGTAATTTTGAATTATATATATTTAATGTTTATCTCAAACTACTAATGTCCCCTTGGATTCACATTCCAATAAGGGCAAATATGTACTCTTATCTTTTTCTCCCAAAATAAATCAAGTTTTCAAATATTCTGCTTCATAAAAGCTTAGTCTACAAAAATTATGAGGATAATCACTTCCTTTTTTTTTTTTTTTTTTTTTGCGGTGTTGCGGAGCACAGGCTCCAGACGCGCAGGCTTAGCGGCCGTGGCTCACGGGCCCAGCCGCTCCGCGGCATGTGGGATCTTCCCGGACTGGGGCACGAACCCGTGTCCCCTGCATCGGCAGGCAGACTCTCAACTACTGCGCCACCAGGGAAGCCCATCACTTCCTTTTTATTCAATTAAAAAACACAGTGGAAAAGTATAAGATAAAATTCTTCCACTTATTTATGATCATGTAAAAGTATTTGAAGAACATGAGTGGCATTTAACCATCAGTTATCGGTTGGCTAAATATGATTTTTAGGGAAGCCATATGTGGTAAGGAATATTTACCTTAATGTTGTTCTTTTTAGATGAAATCAAACTAAGGTCAATTAATGGCAGTTTCCAAAGAAGTTTCAATATTTATAAACTTCACAATTTATGAAACTTGATCATTTAAAATGTAAAAAGCTACATGGAAATTAAGCATTTAGATTCACAGATTACTGGGAACTTAAAAAAATTAGTTCTCAATATTATGCAACTCTCTTTTTTTGTTTCAAAGAGTTACATATGATCAAAAAGAAAATAACAGTGTAGGTAGGTTAAGTAATTCATATGTTCCAAATAATCAACATAACAAAAAGTGCATGAAATTCCTATGTAATATTTATATGTTTTCTTCAGGCAATGCAAAATGAAGAACTATTACTTTAAGGAAAAGCAAATGAAGAGTTTCAATGTTTTAAATTCACAGCTTTCAATAGGAAATGGTTAAGATAACTGTATTTAGTCTAATATTAAATTCCCTGCTAACAACCAAAATTAAAAAAAAATTAAAATCAAATTTTCTTATCAGATGTTATATACTAGATCCTTGGCACATAAATTTAGCATTCTGACTATAAATAACTTATGTGGGGGCTTCCCTGGTGGAGCAGTGGTTTGAGAGTCCGCCTGCCAATGCAGGGGACACGGGTTCGTGCCCCGGTCTGGGAAGATCCCACATGCCGCGGAGCGGCTAGGCCCGTGAGCCATGGCCGTTGAGCCTGCGCGTCCGGAGCCTGTGGTCCGCAACGGGAGAGGCCACAACAGTGAGGGGCCCGTGTACCACAAAAAATAAAAATAACAATAACTTATGTGATTGCCCATAAAAGTACATGATATATAGTGATTTATCATTTTCTGATAAATGAATGTGAATCATGTTTTGGTGAGTGTGTCAGGTATGACATGCAGGGCATGAGTGAGCCACATCAACCACTTGGCATGTGAATCTCTATTTTGCTTTATTATTAGCCTTTATAATTGATATAAATATAGTGATAAATGGTCACTAAGAGGAAAATAAAACTTAAAACCTTTTATTATACAGCAGGTTCTTATTTGCTGTACACCTGCAACTAACACAGCATTGTAAATCAACTATACTCCAATAAAAATTTAAAAAAATAATAAAAATGCCTATTTAAAAAAAATAAGAGGGACTTCCCTGGTGGCACAGTGGTTAAGAATCCACGCAAGGGACACGGGTTCGAGCCCTGGTCCGTGATGATCTCACATGCCGTGGAGCAACTAAGCCCGTGTGCCACAACTACTGAGCCTGTGCTCTAGAGCCCGTGAGCCACAACTACTGAAGCGCACGTGCCTAGAGCCTGTGCTCGGCAACAAGAGAAGCCACCGCAATGAGAAGCCCATGCACCGCAACAAGAGTAGCCCCCGCTTGCTCGCCACAACTAGAGAAAGCCTGCGTGCAGCAACGAGGACCCAACACAACCAAAAATAAAAGAAATAATTAAAAAGAAAACCTCTTAAAAACTCTCGTACCTACTAAAGTCTGCCTTTGTAGTGCAAACTCATTCATAGACAATATGTAAATGAACAGGTATGGTTGTGTTCAAATTTGCATTTCTTTAAAAGTTTCAGGAAGTATTTGTCACAGATATCAAAGATCAACTACATAGTAATTTAGTCTCAATTAGATTATATAGAGTAGGGATGAGCAAACTTTTTTTGTAAAGCGTCAGATAATATTTTAGGCTTTACCATATGTTCTCTGTTGCAGCTACTAAATTCTGCCTTTGAATAAGAAAAACTATTCATAGACAATATGTAAATGAACAGGTGTGGTTGTATTCAAATAAAACTTTAAATACAAAACAAGTGGAAGGCTGGATTTGCACCATAGGTCCTTACTTTGCTGATCCCTGATACAGAGTATTGAAAAATGAGATCAGATCTTTGATGTTAATACACTGTAAGTGCCAATTCAGTATATTTGACACATTTTTCTGAGGTGGGTCATTTAATATCTAGTTAAAGATAAAAAATCAACAATAGTGGCTTCCAGAAAATTAAATTCAGTCCTACAATAAGGACATTACTTACTATATCACTTAAGAAAACAAAAATTAGACAAACAACTTACCTTTAAGAAAAAGGAAGCAATTTGAAACAGTTATATAAAACACATAATTTTCTATGTAAAATGACTTTTTAGGTTTAAGGTTTACTAGCAGCATGTACAACACATAGTTTTACTAGCTTAATAAAGACAAAGTAATAGTTGGTATTATATGACATACAGCCAACAAACTATACATTATGTATCATTAATATGAAGTTTACAATTAAACAAAAGAATTTCAACCTTTCATAATCTTTAAATTATGCCTACAACAGTCTAACTAGACAGTCATGATAATCAGTAAGAATATTGCTGAAGTAAATGTCCATAGGTTCAAGTTTCAATTGATTTCCTATACCATGCAAATTCTGACTGACAACCTTGCACTCTAAGTGAAAAGACTCATGCATGAAATGTCACATACCTTGATTTATTCCTAAATCAGTCAATATCACATCTTTCCTTTCTGAACCTATAGTCCTTTACCTTGTTCAATGGGAAGAAGCAAAACTTTGACCCCCAAATGATACAAAGAACTAGTGATCAGCTTATCAAAAAATTCTAAATTGTTTTTTTTCTCTAAGTCTCCTTTCTTACACAGTGCCACCTTTAATATAAAAAATACACCAACATAACAGATTGAAAAATAGATACCATGGTCTCAAAAGTTGGAATGTACCTATGCAAACATGTCTATATTGGCATGCATATGTAAGTCATTTTAACCTGAATCCTTTTTACTTTTTCCTGGTTTTGGATAAAAGCAAAAGAGACAAAGAAAAAAGCATTAAAAATTCAAGAGGTAAGGGAAAGCAGAGAAGCGGCAGAATAATAAGACAAGACAAACATTATACAGAAAGATAAAAAGTAGATCGGAAGTGGAAAAGATGATGAGAGAAAAAAGAAGGAAGGAATTTCCAGATTATAGGAAGCAAGAAGTAAGGAATTAAAACAAAAAGATGTGAAATAATTTATACAATTTCATCTTATACTCAATGCCTCTAAATATGCCTTTCAGTCAAGCAAAGCTCAGTTATAAATTGGTTCTATCTTAACAAAGATTTAGTCTAAAATGCACTATTTTAGAGCCTATAGTTCAGAGTTATAGACTTCTGAATAGAAGTTCAGAGCCTATAGACTTCAACTGAGTAGAAAAGAACCTCCACAGTGCCATTTAAAACTGTACTGACATGCTATTTGTTGCTGTTGTTGTTCTTGCTTCTTCTGTATGATTTTTCCTGATCCACTCACCTGAACCCCTAGACTGTAATA